TAGATTTATATCGCAGTTTTATTGTTATATTTTTTGGTCATTTTCACAAACTCTCAGATTTTCAAAACCCTTATGATTTTTTGACTTTTTCCAAGCACTTTCGAAAATTACATGGAGATTTTTTTGTTGATTTCGCCCTGCTGAGGTTATTTTTGGCTAAATTTCTTCGAAAATTCCAACCAAACATTTTTCCAGAATCGCCAATTTGGAAAATTTTGGGATTTTTATTAAAAAAATTGATTTTCAGACCAAAAACTTTCAAAATCTTGGTCTAGCTCCAGCTAATTCGAAAAACTGCTCGTTGAAATTTATAGCTCAGAATTATTCGTGTATTTTAGACGATTTTCACAAAAGTACAAATTTTCAAAACTCTTTCGAAACATTTTCGAAAATTGCATAGAAATTTTTTTCTTGATTTCAACCTGCAGAAGTCATTTTCGGAAAATTTCAACCATTTTTCCAGAGTCGTCAAAATGAAATGTGGCAATTTTTGGGATTTAGTCAAAATTTAATTTGGAAATCAAACGTTTGGAAAATTTTGGTCGAATTTTCAAAACCCTTAGGATTTTTTTACTTTTTCCAACCAATTTTATTTTCAAATCGAAAACACGAAAATGTTGCTGTAGCTCCATCAACAAGCTGTTTTTGGAATTAGCTCGTTGAAATTAATAGCTCACAAAAGTTCAAATTTTCAAAACTCATGAAATTTCTGATTTTTTTCGGACATTTTCGAAAATTCCCAAGAGATTTTTTTGCTGATTTTGACTGGCAGAAGTCATTTTCAGCTTAATTGGTTCGAAAATTCCAACCATTTTTTCAGACTCGTCAAAATAAAATGTAGGAATTTTTGGGGATTTAATCAAAATTTGATTTTGAAATCAAAAACTTCGAAAATTTTGTATGGCTCCATCAACAGGCTGTTTTTCGGAATAGCTCGTCGAGATTTGCATCCCAGAATTATTGATATTTTTTTTGGCAATTCGTACAGAAGTTCAAATTTCCAAAATCCTTATAAATTTTTTTATAATTTTCCGAACATTTTCGTAGTAAATTATCCAGAAATTTTTGTATTGACTTCGACTTATAGAAGTTTTTTTGTCTTATTTCTTCGAAAATTCCAAACATTTTTCTTTTTGGGAAATTAAAAAAAAATTGATTTTGGAACCGAAAATTTCGAAAATCTTGATTTGGCTCCACCAAGAAGCTGTTTTTCGAACTAGTTCGTCAAGATTCATATCCTAGGATTATTGTTGTATTTTTAGGCCATTTTCCAAAAAATTCAAATTTTCAAAACCCTTATGAAATTTTAATCTTTTTCCGAGCACTTTCACAAATTATACAAAGATTTTTGTGTGGATTTCGGCTTGTAGAAGTTATTTTAGTCTTATTTCCTTTGAAAAATTCAACCATTTTTTCAGAATCGCCAACATACAATGTGTCAATCTTTAAGATATTTAAAAAATTTAATTTTGAAACCGAAAACTTCGAAAATCTTTGTTTAGCTCCATCAACAAGCTGTTTTTTCGAATTAGCTCATATACATTCACAGCTCAGGATTATTGGTGTATTTTTAGGCCATTTTCACAAAAGTTCAAATTTTTGAAAACTCTTACGAAATTTCTGATTTTTCTCGGGCATTTTCAAAAATTCCCAAGAGATTTTTTTGTTGATTTTGACTTGCAGAATTCATTTTCGGCTTAATTTCTTCGAAAATTCCAACAATTTTTCCAGAATCGTCAAAATGAAATGTAGAAGTTTTTGCGATTTAATAAAAATTTGATTTTGACATCTAAAACTTCAAAAATTTTGGTCTGGCTTCATCAACAGGCTTTTTTTTCGAAATAGCTCATCGAGATTTGTATCCCAGAAATAATGGTATATTTTTTGGCCATTTTCACAAAAGTCCAAATTTTCAAAACTCTTATCAAATGTTTTACATTTTTCCAAACATTTTCGAAAATTATCCAGAAATTTTTGTATTGACTTCGACTTGCAGAAGTTATTTTTGACGACGAAATGTGACGATTTTTGGGATATTTAAAAAATTTGATTTTGGAACCGAAAATTTCGAAAATCTTGATCTGGCTGTTTTTCGAACTAGCTCGTCAAGATTCATACTCCAGAAATTTGAGCACTTTTTTCGAGCACTTTCAAAAATTATACAGAGATTTTTGTGTTGATTTCGAATTGCAGAAGTTAGTTTTATCGAAAATTTCAACCATTTTTTCAGAATCGCCAAAATACAATGCGTCAATTTTTGGGATATTTAAAAAACTTTATTTTGAAACCGAAAACTTCGAAAATCTTTGTCTACAAGCTATCTTTCGAATTAGCTCGTCGGGATTTACAGCTCAGAATTATTGGTGTATTTTAAGGTCATTTTTACAAAAGTTCAAATTTTCGAAACTCTTACCAAATTTTGATTTTTTCGGAACATTTTCGAAAATTCCCTAGTTTTTTTCTCGATTTTGACTTGCAGAAGTCATTTTCGGCTTAATTTGTCCGTAAATTCCAACCATTTTTCCAGATCGTCAAAATGAAATGTAACAATTTTGGGAGATCCAATCAAAATTCGATTTTCAAACCGAAAACTTCTAAAATCTTAGTTTATTCCAATTAGCTCGTTGAAATTTATAGCTCAGAATTATTGGTCGTCAAAAAGAAATGTGGCAATTTTTGGGGTTTAGTCAAAATTTGAATTTAAAATCGAAAATTTCGAAAATCTTGGTGTGGCTCCAGTGGCTGTTTTTGGAATTATCTCAAGATTTATTATCCTCGAAATATTGTTGTATTTTTAGACCGTTAGAATTCAAATTTTCTAAACGAGTACGAGTACGAAATTTTTGACTTTTCCCTTTCGAAAATTATCGAAAGATTTTTTTTTATTACGACTTATTTTCTACTTTAAGCGAATAATTTGTAATTTTTAAAGTGTGGTGAATATTTAAAACATGTATATTAAAAATTCAATTTTGAAACAGAAAATTTTAAAAATTTTGGTTTGATGTTTTTCGAATTATGTAGATCGCAGAATTTTTTGTGAATTTTTAGATAATTTTCTCCTTTGAGATTTTTGACTTTTTTCCGACGATTTTCGAAAATTATCGAAAGACTTTTTATTTTCAATTTCAACGTTCACGTTCACGTTTTTATGCAAAAAATTGGTCGAAAGACTAATAAAATCTAAAAAGAGAACTTTCCTCGCACCTGAAGTTAAACACTCAAACAAATTAGAAAAAAAAAAGCGACTTGAATGGGATTCGAACTCTGGCACGCAAAACCGGCATTCATATTTTTTAGATTTACTTAAACAGGGTGACTAAAAAAATTAATGACTGAATTGTTAAAAAATAAACATCCAATCAGATTTAGGAATTTAAGTTCTTACTATGGAAATTTGCAATTTAACAACTTTTAAATTTAACAAGTTTTTACAAGTTTAATAGAGGCCAAATCAGTCTTATCTGAGCAAGTACTAGCCCCGCCCACCCACCCGTATTTTCTTAGAGGATATATCATTTACCAAAATAATACTTATCTTAGCAAGTACTACCCTCTGAGAAAATAAAGGGCGGGTGGGGGAGCTAGTACTTGCTCACATAAGTCTTATTTTGGCAAATGACATTTCCTCTGAGAAAATAGGGGGCGGGTGGGCGGGCCTAGTACTTGGTAAGATAAGACTGACTTTGGCAAATGACAAAGCCTCTAGGAAAATACGGGCGGGTGGGCGGGGCTAGTATTTGTTAAGATAAAACTGATGTGGCCCCTATTATTCTTGTAAAAACTTGTGAAATTTAAAGCTGTTAAATTGCAAATTTCGATCGTTCTCAGAGGATGTCATTTGCCAAAAGACGACTTATGTTAGCAAGTACTAGCCCCGCCCACCCACCCATATGTCATTTGCCAAAATAAGACTTATGTTAGCAAGTACTAGCCCCGCCCACCCACCCGTATTTTCTTAGGGGATATGTCATTTGCCAAAATCAGTCTTCCCTTACCAAGTAGTCGGCCCGCCCACCCGCCCCTATGTTTTTCCGTCCACGACATACTTGCCTCCCACGTGCACGAGATATAGACACCTGGCAAATATTGCAGATTTTTGTAAAGTATTTTTGTATTTTTATTAAACGTCAAGGCGGATTCATAATCAAGTAGAGGAACATATTTCTCTATAAAATTTAGAGAGTATTTAGTACGCAAAATGTTGAGGTGACGTCATCAAATCGTTGATGGCAATGATCAGGATAGATCAGTTTTTGTCTTATTTCAACCCAGTTTTTTTAATTTTATATATATTTTTATTTAATATCAAAAAAAAAAATTGAATAAATTCCACAAATATGGTATCAAAGGAAATTATTGTGAAACTTATTTTTTCGCCGATTTATATACCTGTAGACAGATTAAATCGTGTCAAAGCTTTAAATGATTAAATTTCGTGTTATACATAACCTTGTAACACAGTTTAGCAACTGAGAAATTTTAAATACGTCTTTTCTGATAAAAGATAAACCGTATTAATACAAATCCATTAATATGATAAATTACTCAGAAAATTTATTGATTTTGTGCAAGTGAATTAATTTTGATTAAACATACGTTTTTTAATATAATAAACGTATAACAAATTATTGAAGACGCTCACTTTACATATTTTCATAACAACATTAGCCAAGGTCTCACCTAATTACGTCAATGTAATAACAATTAAAGAATAGACAAAACAAGATTTCTGCTATTTTTGTTACAACTGGGTATAAATCTATATTTAATAGCCTTCTTCAAAGTTTAAAAAAATACGAGTTTGTATAAATAAACACACATTGTTTTTGTTTTATAAAAATTGGCAATGTTCCACAAACTTTTTAAGTGTTAGTAGGTTAATAAATGTCATATCTGATGTCATCAAATTCTTTACCACCTATGTAAGTGGCCATCATTCATTCTTCACATACTATAAAATCATTTTTTTTTTTAATAAAAAGCACCAATATACATACTTGTGGTCATATCTATCAGTCCCAACTTCAAACTTAAAAGTGGGAGGAAACTCCGGATCTGCCTCCACCAGTTCACTAAAAGCCTCCCCCCTGTTCATCACGTATCTCAGCTGGTCGAACAAAAACAACTTCGGGCACTCCTTCTTATAAACCAGCCTCTCGATCTCCTCCGGCGTGGCGTCATAGTCCTCATGCAACCTAAAATTGAGATCCCCCATCCAGAAAACGTAATCATGGAAAAATATCTCCGTGGTTTCGGCGACGTGAAATTCTTGATCCTTGATAATACTGTTGTAGTCCTCCACGCGGTCCTTGAGCTGGTTGTCATGGGCGCTGAGGTGCGAGTTCACAAAACACAGCGAACACCCATAAATGCTAAGCCTAATACTAACAGCACCTTTGTTCCCCTGTAAAAACATTCAATAACAACGCAGTCCCAACCAAACGCGCAACCACAGACCCACATTCCAGATAGGCCCGTTCTCGTATACTCGGATTCAATCTCCCGTATGTTGAGTAGGTGTTTTCTTAGACAGTAGATGTTGAGCAACAAACCTTGCAGCCGCACTGACTTGATTTTCACGTAGTTGTACCTCTCGAGGAGGTCCTTAATCGCGTAGGTCCAGGGATCGTCGAACAGGGCGTCCAGGAGCATGTTCTGGGGCTGCGCTTTCACCTCTTGAAAGCTCAAGATGTACAAGTCAGGGAGCTGGAATTTCTCGTTCTTGGGGTCGTCGGGGAGGCCCAAGAGGGTGTTGAGGCGTGCGTCGGGGTTGTTGGTTCCTACGTTGTAAGTGCCGAGGTATAACCTGGATGAGGAAATTGCGGTCATGTACGGGGGATAATAACACGGTTCTTACTTTAAGTTTTCCATGGTGGTTCTGCAAAAGCGTGGGTTGAGTGACGGTGGGTTCAATTGAAACTGTTGGGTTTATAAAACGGGGAAAAACTGATTTGGTGCGATATTACACGAAAAATGCGTTCTGATTGCTGAATGTTGCGAGTGACATATTTAAATCGATTTTGACGTTTTTTTTTGTGGGATTTGGGGTCGAGTTTCCATACCGAGCAATGCACATAACGCGCATTTGTGGTTGCATATGGTAACTGATGGTGGAAATGGGTGAAAATATTTTTGTGTTAATCGAGATTATTTGCAGTTGTAGTTTTAACCATTTTCCGCCAGTTATTTTAAGTGTAGTTGTTCATTACAAAGTTAATTTATTTTATGGTAAATTATGTTAAATATTATTTTTATGCAACCAATTATACACACAAAGAAAGTACACGGATAGTTTTTACCAAAATAAAAAACACCACTGGTTGAGTTCAGTTGCTAACAGAAAAAAACTTCAGTTCTCCGTTATTTTAAGTGTAGTTGTTTATTACAAAGTTAATTTACTTTATTGTAAATTGTGTTAAAAAATATTTGTAGGCAACCAGTTATACACGCAGGGGAAATTTAGTGCACAAACAATATCTGAAAAGATTTTCTAATAATTTTCGTTCGTCTGGCCTTATTTTCTGCCGATTTTACTTTCTGATTATGTTATTTTAGGAAAATAGTCATTGTGATGGAAAAATTTTCGTTCATTTGGCGACTGTTATATCGAGTGTTTTTATTTCATTAGACAGATAACCTGCGAAATTATTAAAAGAATTATGAATTTTAGGTATAATTTTGGAATTTTGTTTGTGCTACCTTTGGGGTTCGTCAGTATAACCATATTTTTATTTTCGCTTTTTCTTTTAGTCTTTTTTTAACTTTTTTCCTTTATTAAGATTTTTATCGTCTTCTTTTTGTCACATTCTTTGTGGTATTTTTTGTGATCCTTTTTTTGTTTTTTACTCCTTTTTGGGTTCTTTTTTGTACTTCTTTTTTCGCAAATTTTTTGTCTTTTTTGGTCCATTCTTTCTTATTCATTTTTTAGCGGCGTTTTTGACATTTCTTTTACATTTTTTGTTGCCTCTTTTAGGGCTTTTCTTTGTCCCTTATTTTTTAACTCTCTTGCTTTAATGAAATTTTTTATTGGGTTTTTTATGCATTTTTTTCGATCTCTCTTTGTGGTGTTTACTCTTTTTGCGTTTTTTTTTGGCCTATTTTTTCTACATTTCTCTAAATCTTATCTTTTGTTGCCAGTTTTTGGGCGTCTTTTTGATAGCGTTTTTTGTCGTTCTCATTTTTAGCTCATTTTTGTTTTCGTATTTTTTGTTTTTTGACTTTTTTGTCATGTTTTTGGCGCCTTGTTTTCTTGCGTTTTTCGACGGATTTTTGTAGCTTTTTTTATATTTTTTTTATCATGTTTTTTGTCATTGCGTTTCCTTGTAGCCGTTTTCCAATTTTTTTTATTCGTTTTTAGTGGGTTTTTTACTTTTTTAATATTTGGTAGTACTGTTTCTGTGGTATTTTTTTTTAATTATTTTTTTGTCGCCTTTTTTCGTGTTTTGTTGCTTATTGGTGTTTTTTTTTGTACTTCTTTCGTCGCAAGTTTTTTGTTTTAATGGTATTTTTTGTATTCTTTTAGATCTCTTTTTGTAGTATTTTTTGTTTTTGCGCTTGTTTTGTGGAATTTTATAAGGCATTTTTTGCGACCCTTCCTTTTTTTGTCATTTTTTTCTCCATTTCCGTTCCATCTTTTGTTTCCATTTTTTGTTGTTTTTTAGCTCATTTTTTAAGCGGTATTTTTTCGATCATTTTATTTTGGTATTTTTTTGTCGCTTTTTTTATACTTCTTTTTATGGTGTTTTTTTTTTTAATGCGTCTCCTTGCAAACCTTTTTTTCTCTTATTTCTTTACTTATTTTAGGGGATTTTTTACCTGTTTTATACCACATTTTTATCGTGTTTTTTTATTACGTTTCCGCCGCCTTTTTTGCTACTATTTTATAGAGATTTTTTGTCGCCTTTTGTTTTCGTGTTTTGTTGCTTTTTTGTGGTCTTTGAGCCCTTTTATCGTTTGTTTTTCACTCATTTTTCTAGCAGTTCGAACTTTTTTGTCACATTTTTGTTCCCTTTCTTTTCTCAGTTTTTTTTGCGTCTACTTTTCGACTTTTTATGTCATGTTTTTATTGTTTTATTACGTTTTTTGTCGGCTTTTTTTTCGTTATATGTTTTATATGGTTTTTGTTACTCTTTTTTTTTTGACTATTTTTTAATTCCTTTTCTGTGAGTCGCATTTTTTGTTGCTTTTTTTGCTGTTTTTTTTAATAGTGTTTTTGTGCTCTTTTTTCGTTCTTGTTTTTTGTCTTTTTTTGTGGCCTTTGTCACCTTTTTTTTGTGCTCCCGTTCTTTTAATACCTTTGTTGCGTTTTTCTTTACATTTTCTGTTGCAACATTGGTCTCTATTTTTTACTTATTTTTACGCTGCATTTTCTTTGGATCTTTTTTGTCATCTTTTTTGGGCTATTCACTTTATTTTCATCGTTTTTTTTTTGGTATTTTTTTGTTGTTTTTTTTTGTCAGATTTTTTGCGTCTTCTTTTCGATTTTTTTGTAGTATCTTTTGTCACCTTAATTTTTTACTACGGTTTTTTGTCACTTGTTTTTTTGTTCCTTTTATTCATTTTTTTAGCGGTGTTTTTTTCGCGCTTTTTTTTGTCTATTTTTTTATGGTATTTTTTATGACCCTTTTTTTTGGCCTTTTTTTTCTCCATTTTTGTAAGTCGCATCCTTTGTTGCCAGTTTCTGGCGTCTTTTTTTTGGCATTTTTTGTCGTTCCTGTTTTTAGCCCATTTTTTAAGCGGCATTTTTCCACCTTTTTATTTTCGTACTTTTTCGTGATTTTTTAATTTTTTGTTCTTGCTTTTTTTGATGGATTTTTTTCTGTCGGTTTTTTTCGACTTTTTTGTCTTGTTTTTTATCATTGCGTTTCCTTGTAGCCATTTTTCTTTATTTTTTAATTGGTTTTTATCTAGTTTTTTTACTTTTTTCATCGTACTTTTATAATAGTGTTTCTGTCGCTTTTTTTGTTATTTTTTTTTGGAGATCTTATGTCGCCTTTCGTTTGCGTGTTTTGTTGCTTTTTGGTGTTTTTTTTTGTGACCCTTTCTTTAAGTTTTTTTACTCCTTTTTTATGTCTATTTTTTCGTTTGTGTTTTTGTCACTTTTTTTGTCATATTTTTTGTGGCCTTTGTCACCCTTTTTTTTGTTCTCCCGTTGTTTTAATCACATCTTTGTTGCGTTTTTTTTTGTTTTTTGTCGCTTTTTTTTGGCGCCTTATTGTTTTCTATTTTTGACTTATTTTTTTAAGCGGCATTTTCTTTGGACCTTTTTTGTCACAATTTTTGCTTTATTTTCATCGATTTTTTTTTGGGGACTTTTTTTGCGTCTTCTTTCGACCTTTATGTCGTGATTTTTGTCACTTTAATTTTTTACAACGGTTTTTTTGCACTTATTTTTTACAACGGTTTTTTTGTACTTCTTTCGTAGCAAATTTTTTGTTTTATTGGTATTTTTTTGTCGGATTTTTTTGTATTCTTTTCGTTCTTTTTTTTGTGGTATTTTTTGTTTTTGCGCTTGTTTTGTCGAATTTTATATGTCATTTTTTGCGACCCTTTCTTTTTTTGGCCTTTTTTTCTCCGTTTATGTAAGTCCCATCTTTTGTTTCCATTTTTTGTTGCTTTTTTTGGCGCCTTATTTAATCGCATTTTTTGTCGTTCCTGTTTTTTGGCTCAATTTTTAAGCGGCATTTTTTCGATGTTTTTGGTATTTTTGTGTTTTTTGACCTTTTGTCGCTTTTTTATACTTTTTTTATAGTGTTTTTTTGTCATTGCGTTTCCTTGTGACATTTTTTTCCCTTTTTTCGTTTTTTACCACATTTTTATCGTATTTTTAATAACGTTTCTACCGCCTTTTTTGTTACTATTTTTTGGAGATTTTTGTCGCTTTTCGTTTTGGTGTTTTGTTGCATTTTTGTGTTTTTTTTTGTGGTTTTTTGGAGGTCTTTTGTCGTTTATTTTTTTACTAATTTTTCTAGCGGTTTTTGTCACATTTTTTCCTTGCATTTTTGTTCCTTTGTTTCTCACTTTTTTTTTAAGTCTACTTTTCGACTTTTTTGTGATGCTTTTATTCTTTTATTAGGTTTTTTGTCGCCTTTTTTCTCGTTATGTGTGTATTTTATATCGTTTTTGTCACTCTTTTTTTTTGACTATTTTTTATTCCTTTTCTGTGAATCGCATTTTTGCTGTTTTTTATAGTGTTTTTGTGCTCTTTTTTCGTTCGTGTTTCTGTTTTTTTTGTGGCCTTTGTCACCTTTTTTTTGTTCCCCCGTTGTTTTAATCACATCTTCGTTGGGTTTTTGTTGTTTTTTTGTCACATTTTTGGTGCCTTAATCGTTATTTTTACTTATTTTTTAAGCTGTACTTTCTTTGGATCTTTTTTGTCACATTTTTTGTGGGTTTTTCACTTATTTTTTTTTTTGTTTTTTTTTGTCGGATTGCGTCTTCTTTTCGACTTTTTTTGTCGTGTCTCTTGTCACCTAATTTCTTTGCTATGTTTTTTATCACTTTTTTCTGTTAATTTTTTATTCATTTTTTATCGGTGTTTTTTCTTTCTGCGCTTTTTTTGTTTAATTTTTATGGTATTTTTTATGACCCTTTCTTTTTGGCCCTTTTTTTCTCCATTTTTGTAGGTCGCATCCTTTCTTGCCAGTTTTTGGCGTCTTTTTGATAGTATTTTTTGTCGTTCCTGTTTTTAGCTCATTTTTTAAACCACATTTTCCGACTTTTTTTTCTGTAATTTTTCGTGTTTTTTCAAAAATTTTTAGCGTGTTTTTGTTACCCTTTTTTGCTTTTTTTGACGTATTTTTTGTCGCCTCTTTTGTCTTGTTTTTTATCTTTCCGTTTCCTTGTAGTCATATTTCCTTATTATTTTATTAGTTTTTAGCTAGTTTTTTTTACTTTTTTTATCGTACTTATAGTGTTTTTGTTTTTTTTTTTATTTTTTTTGAAGATCTTTTGTCGCCTTTTGTTTTCGTGTTTTGTTGCTTTTTGATGGCCTTTTTTGTGACCCTTTCTTTATGTTTTTAGTCTTTTTTATGTGTTTTGTACTTCTTCTTTTACAAATTTTTTGTAAAAGGGCTTTTTTTTCCTTACTCCCTTGTTTTAATGGTATTTTTTATCGTATTTTTTTTGTCTTCCTTTCTATCTCTTTTTATTGTATTTTTTGTTTTTGCGCTTGTTTTGTCTAATTTTATCTGGTATTTTTGCGACCCTTTCTTTTTGGCCTTTTTTTTCTCCATTTCTGTAAGTCCCATCTTTTGTGTCTATTTTTTGTTGCTTTTCTCTGGCGTCGTTTTTATCGCAATTTTTTGTCGTCCCTGTTTTTTAGCTGATTTTTCAATTTTTTATTTCGGTATTTTTTGTCGTATTTTTACCATTTTTTTCCGAAGGATTTTTTCGATTTTTTTTTTAGTGTTTTTTTGTCATTGCGTTTCCTTGTAACCTTTTTTTTCTCATTTTTTACTCGTTTTTAGCGCATCTTTTTTACTTTTTTGCCACATTTTTGTCATATTTTTGGTGTTTCTGCCGCCTTTGTTGTTACTACTTTTTGGAGATTTTTTTGTCGGCTTTTCGTGTTTTGTTTGTTGTTGCTTTTTTGCTGTCTTTTTACAGTGTTCTTGTGCTCTTTTTTGTCTCCTTACTTCTCTTCTTCTATTTTAGCGGCATTTTTAAAATTTTTTCGCCCGTGTTTTTGTCACTTTTTGGTCATATTTTTGTGGCCTTTGTCACCTTATTGTTCTCTATTTTTTTACTTCTTTTTTTTAAGCGGAATTTTCTTTGGACCTTTTTTGGTACATTTTTTGCGGGTTTTTCGCTTTCTTTTCATTGTTTTTTCTGTTTTTTTCTTTTTCTTTGGGATTTTTTTTGCGTCTTCTTTCGACCTTTTAGTCGTGATTTTTGTCACTTTAATTTTTTACAAAGGTTTTTTATAACTTGTTTTTTTGTCAATTTTTTATTCATTTTTTTAGTCGCATTTTTTGTCCTCTCTTTAGATAATATTTTTTTTTTAGAAAATCTGGTTGCCCAACTAGAACAACGAAACAAAGCGGATTCATAAACCACAAGTAGGACAGGAGTATGTTATTTTAGTAATATTTGTTTTTTTCGCTTTTTTTTGTTTGTTCGTCTTTTTTGTGCTCCTGTTCTTTCAATTGAATTTTCTGTTCCCTATTTACTGCTTTTAGTTTGTTTTATTTGTTTCGTCTTTTTGAGCTTGTATTAGTTTTTGGCGCATTTTTGGTTATCTCTCTTTGACTCTTCTTTTAGCTGCATTTTTTCGTCATTACTTATTGTCTTTTTTATTGCTTTCTTTGTCTCAGTTTTTGGTCGCCTTGTTTTTTCTGTATTTTTTTGGGTTTTTTCGTCTTTCCGTAATAGTGACAATGTCTTATTTTTATCACACTTTTTGTGATCTTTTTCGTCGTTTTTTTTTAAGCTCCTTTTTTAGTGCATTTTTGTTCGCCTTTTTTGTACATTTTTTGCTTTTTGGTCATTTTTGTTTTTCTTTATAAGATTTTTTGTATCTTTTTTTGTTGTTTTCTGTTGCTTTTGAACTGTCTGTTTTTAGCTGCATTTTTCCTTACTTTTTTCTCATTCTTCTTTAATACATCTAACTGTTAAAAATAAAAATTTCAGAAATCTAGATCCAGTACCAATCTATTTATTAGTCCATATATAGTAAACTACACACGTAATACCAATCGCAGGATGCCACTAATTAAACGAAACCAGATACTCTCCATTCTGCGTTGTATACCGTACCCACGTCAGGGCCTTATAATTACTCTTCTCAATTACTTTCATATATTTTATCTGCAAACCAGAAACAGTAAAATATGGAATCATAAATTTAACCCGCACGGGCGTTTTTTCCCTCTTCTCCTCGCTCCGAATCGAGGAAAGCCTGAACTGTGCGTTCAAGGCGACCTCGCTGCCGCCTGGAAAGTACTTAATTTTCCAGACGACGGCGCACTCCTCCGGAACGTAGCTCGCCGCCCCCGACGAGCTCCGAAAAACCGGCGAATCCACGTCCTGGCAGACCGGCAAAGTCACCTCGACGTTGCTCGCGGTCGAAGAGGACTTGAACTGGGCGGTAGCTTTGACAGCGTACTCGATTCTGCTGGACGAGCTGTGGACGACTTTGGTCTGGATGGCAATCAGGGGCTTGATGTCGGTGTTCATCCGGTACGACATGAGCTCGAAGTCGCCGTCGGGCGGGATGAAGTAGATGTTTTTTTCGAAGATTCGTGATAGCTGGACGCACTGGTGGAATTTGACGTCTTCGAGGGAGCCCGCATCTTGGGAGTTTATGGCGAGGAGGATCTTGTCGCTGAGGCCTGACAATAACAAGGCAATAACAATTAAAGAGTGGATTTTGGGCTAAAAAAGCTAAACTAAGCGTTAAGGCACTAAATGTACAGCATAATTAATAGTAATAATTTTAAATTATTAATTTTTTATTTTTCAAAAATTGATATATTGTGGGAATTTATGGAATTAATTTCACAACTAGTTTTTCCACTTGAATTGTGCAATATTAATAATTTTGAACTTCAGTTTACGAAAACCGAGCACGAACTAATCGATACAGGAAGAGAACTCGAAATGAAAATTAACAATCTTCTGTTTTGTTTTGTTTTTTTTTTTTTTTTTGTATGGTAAAAATCTCTCATACTTCCTATACTAATAACTAATAAACTAAAGTTAACGTAAAATACATAGATTTATTTTCCTGAGTGCAATTAACGGTGGATACGTAAATGTATGACCATTTTTCAACAGGAACTAGTTTAACTTTAGCACCAGTTAGCTGAACGGTATTTATATAAATAAATTTATTTAACGGGGAGTTCAAAGAAAATGCTTCAAATTTCTGAATATTCAACTATTTGTAGCAGCAAATTGCTGTATATTGACTGGTTTTTGAGTTTGCTAAACCTCATATTTTAAATTTGCATTCCAACAAAATAGTTTACAAAAAAATTAGAAGAGCAATGTTGTCTGAATGCGTGAAAAAGTTGTCTAAAAATTTGCAAAAAAATCAGGGATGTAGATCTCGACATGCTGATTCCAAAAATATAGAGTATTGATGGTCACGGAGCAAGATTTTCGAAAGAATCGTTACGAAATGCCAATTTTTGAAAATTTCTAAAAATTTTGATATTTCAACGGTTTGAGTTATCAAAGAAACGAGGCTGGAAGTGAGATCTAGAGTTCGAAGTCTACAAGAAAAAGGACGAAAAGGACGAAATATACGAAAAGGATGAAATGGACGAAAAAGACGAAAAGGACAAAAATGACGAATAGAACGAAAAGAAAGAAAATTATGAAATGGACTGAAAGGACGAAAATTACGAAAATTACGAAAAGGACGAAAAAGACGAATAGGACAAAAAGGACGAAAAGGAAGAAAATCACGAAAAGGACGATAGAGGACGAAAAAGGACGAGAAGGACGAAAAAGGATGAAAAAGGACGAATGAGGACGAAAAGGACGGAAAAAACGAAAAGGAAGAAAAAGGACGATAAAGGACGGAAAAGAACGAGAAGGACGAAAAAGACGAAAAGGGCGAAAAATACGAACAAGGACAAAAAGGACGAAAAGAACGAAATGAACGAAAAAGGACGAGAAAGGACGAAGAATGACGAAAAAGTACGAAAACGACGAAAAAGGACGATAAAGGACGAAAAGGGACGAGAAGGTCGAAAAGGACGAAAACGGCGAAATAACGAAAAGGACGAATAAAGACGAAAAAGGACGAAAAAGACGTAATAACGAAAAGGACGAATACGGATGAAACAGGAGGAAAAAGGACAAAAAGGACGAATGAGGATGAAAAAGAATGAAAAGGACGAACAAGGACGATAAAGGACGAAAAGGGACGAAAAGGACGAAATAACAAAAAGGACGAATAAGGACGAAAAAAGACGAAAAGGACGAAAAAAGACGAAAAGGATGAAATAACGAAAAGGACGAAATAACGAAAAGGACGAAATAACGAAAAAGATGAAAAGGACGAATAAGGACGAAAATTACGAATAGGACGAAAAGGACGCAAATTATGAAATGGACTAAAAGGACGAAAATTACGAAAATAATGAAAAAGACGAATAGGACAAAGAGGACGAAAAGGAAGAAAATCACGAAAAGGACGATAAAGGTCGAAAAAGGACGAAAAGGACGAAAAAGGACGATAAAGGACGAAAAAGGACGAGAAGAACGAAAAAGGATGAAAAAGGACGATAAAGGACGAAAAGGACGAAAACGGCGAAATAACGAAAAGGACGAATAAAGACGAAAAAGGAAGAAAAGGACGAAATAACGAAAAGGACGGATACGGACGAAAAGGACGAAAAGAACGACAAGGACAAAAAAGAACGAAAAAGACGAAAAAGAACGAAAAGAACGATAAAGGACGAAAACGAACGAAAAATGTTGAATTCAAAATTTCGTTATTTTATAACAGTAGATTTTAGTTCATTATTTATTGTTTTCAAATTTTGAATTTACTTATTAGGGAACACTGTTAGAATATATATTATTTAGTTAATTTAGTTTAATAATTCAAAATGGAAATTGGAGATTCCGTTACAAATAAATAAATGAATAAATAAATAAATAAATAAATAAATAAGAGGAGAAAAGGACGAAAAAGGACGGAGTGGAAGAAAATGACGAAAAAGAACGAAAAAGGACGACAAAGGACGAAATGGACGAAAAATGGGAAAGAGGACGAAAAGGACGAAAAGGACGAAAAAGGACAAAAAAGAACTTAAAGGACGAAAAATGATGAAAAAGAACGAAAAGAACAAGAAAGGACGAAAAAGGACGAAAATAGACGAAAAAGGACGAAAAATATGAAAAAGGACGGAAAGGACGAAAAGAACGACAAGGACGAAAACGAACGAAAAGGACGATAGAGGACGAAAAAGGACGAAAAGGACGAACACGGACGATAAAGGACGAAAAGGCCGAAAAAGGACGAGAAAGGACGAAGAAGGACGAAAAAGTAGGAAAAGGATGAAAAAGGACGAAAAGGGACGAAAAGGGATGAGAAGGACGAAAAGGACGAAAACGACGAAATAACGAAAAGGACGACAAAGGACGAAAAACGACGAAAAGGACGAAATAACGAAAAGGACGAATACGGATGAAACAGGAGGAAAAAGGACGAACAAGGACGAAAAGGACCAATAAGGATGAAAAAGGACGAATAAGGACGAAAAGGACGATAAGGACGAAAAATACGAAAAAGGATGAAAAGGACAAAAAGGACGACAAGGACAAAAAAGAACGAAAAAGAACGAATAGGACGATAAAGGACGAAAAAGAACGCAAAATGTTAAATTCAAAATTTCGTTATTTTATAACAGTAGATTTTAGTTCATTATTTATTGTTTTCATATTTTGAATTTACTTATTAGGGAACACTGTTAGAATATATATTATTTGGTTAATTTAGTTTAATAATTCAAAATGTAAATTGGAGGTTCTGTTACAAATAAATAATTAAATAAAAAAAGAAATAAATAAATAAGTAAATAAGAGGACAAAAAGGACGAAAAGGACGAAAAGGGAGGAGGACGAAAAGGACGTAAATTACCAGGACGAAAAGCCTGAAAATTACGAAAGTTACGAAAAGGAAGAAAAGGACAAGGACAAGGACGACAAAGACGACAATTGTCAAATGGGAGAATGAGAGAGAAAGTGATAAATGGGAAAATGAGAAAGAGAGTAATAAATAAGAGAATGAGAGAGAGTAATAAATGAGAATGAGAGATAATGATAAATAGGAGAATGAGTGAGAGTGATAAATGGGAGAATGAGAGAGTGTGATAAATAAGAGAATGAGAGAGAGTGCTAAATGGAAGAATGAAAGAGAGTGATAAATGGGAGAATGAGAAAGAGTGATAAATGAGAGAATGAGAGAGAGTGATAAATGAGAGAATGAGAGAGAGAGAGAGAGAGAGTGATAATTGGGAGAATGAGAGAGAATGATAAATGGAAGGATGAAAGAGAATGATAAATGGGAGAATGAGAAAGAGTGATAAATGAGAGAATGAGAGAGAGTGATAAATGGGAGAATGAGAGAGAGAGTGATAATTGGGAGAATGAGAGAGAGTGATAAATGGGAGAATGGGAGAGAGTAATAAATGAGAGAATGACAGAGAGTGATAAATGAGAGAATGAGATAGAGTGATAAATAGGAGAATGAGAGAGAGTAATAAATGAGAGAATGAGAGAAGTATATAAATGAGAGAATGAGAGAGAGTGATAATTGAGAGAATAAGAGAGAGTGATAAATGAGAGAATGAGTGAGAGTGATAAATGAGAGAATGAGAGAGAGTGATAAATGAGAGAATGAGAGAGAGTGATAAATGGGAGAATGATGGAGAAAGTGATAACTGGGAGAATGAGAGGAAGAGAAATAAATGGGAGAATGAGAAAGAAAGTGGTAAACGGGAGGACCAAAAAAGGACCAAATGGACGAAAAGAAGCAAAAGGACGGAAAGGACAAAAAGGACCAAAAGGACGAAAAGGACGAAAAGGAGGAAAAGGACGAAAAGGCCGAAAAGAGCGAAAAGGACGAAAATAATGAAAAGGACGACAAGGACGACAAAAGAAACAAGGACGACAAGGACGAAAAGGACGAAAAGGACCAAATGAACGAAAAAGACGAAAAGGACCAAAATTACGAAAAAGACGAAAAGGACGGAAAAGGACGAAAAAGGACGATAAAGGACGAAAAAGGATGAAAAAGGACATAAAGGACGAAAAGAACGACAAGGACGAAAAAGAACGAAAAGGACGAAAAAGGACGAGAAAGGACGAAGAATGACGAAGAAGTACGAACAGGACGAAAAAGGACGATAGAGGACGAAAAGGAACGAAAAGGACGAAAAGGACGAAAAGGACGAAAAGGACCAAAATTACGAAAAGGACTAAAAGGACGATAAGGACGAACAGGACGAAAAGAACGAAAAGGACGAAAAAGAAGGAAAGGACCAAAAGGACGAAAAGGACAAAAAGGACGAAAAGGACGAAAAGGACGAAAAGGACGAAAAATACGAAAAGGACGAAAAGGACGAAAATTACGAAAAGGACGAAATTTAGATATTCCAGTGGTCGATTCTCGAAACGCAGTTGGACTTATCAAAGAAACGAGGCCGAAAGTGTGTTCTGGAACTCGAAATATACAACAAAATGTACTCAGTTGAGTGACGAAAATGTCAAAAATTGGCCGAAATTAGAAGGGAAAAATTTCACTTTTAAAAAGGTTGTCTAAAAATTGTGAAAAAAATTCACAGACGTAGATTTCGACATGCTGATTCTAAAAATATAGAGTACTGATGGTCACGGAACAACATTTTCGAAAAAATCGTTACGAAATGCGAATTTTTGAAATTTTCTAAATTTTTCGATATTTCAACGGTCGATTCTGGAAAAACGGTTCGAGTTATCAAAGAAACGAGGCCGGAAGTGAGTTCTAGAGCTCGAAATCTACAAGAAAATTTATTTAGCCAAGTTTCGAAAATGTCAAAAATTGACCCAAATTTGAAGAACAATGGCCATTGAAAAAATTTCACTTTTAAAAAAGTTGTGTAATAATTGTGAAAAAATTGTATCAGCAATTCAAAAAAATGATAAACCACCAATATAAATTTTTGAAATTCCTGAAATCCCTATCGTCCTTAAAATTTTGGCATACTTGGGATCCTTGAAATGATTGAAAATGAAAAGACTTTGAATTTTCACAGTTTTTGTAATATTTTCACAAATTGAACATCGACGTCCCTGAATTTTTTCATAATTTTTAGACAACTTTTTTAAAACTGAAACTTTTTAATGGTTCTACAAATTTCGGAAAAATTTTGACATTTTCGAAACTTAACTAAAATGCATTTTCTTGTAGATTTCGAGTTCTAGAACTCAATTCCGGCTTCGGTTCTTTGATAACTGCAACCGTTTTTCCAGAATCTACCGTTGAAATATCGACATTTTTTAAATTTTCAAAAATTCGCATTTCGTAGCGATTTTAAAAAGTTGTCTAAAAATTATGAAAAAATTCAGACGTAGATCTCGACACGCTGATTCCAAAAGTATAGCATGTTGATGGTCACGCAGCAACAATTTCTAAAGAATCGTTACGAAATGCGAATTTTTGAAAATTTCTAAAAATTTCGATATTTCAACAATCATTTCTTGAAAAAGGGTTCGAGTTATCAAAGAAACAATGTCGGAAGTGCGTTCTAGGGCTCGAATTCGACAAGAAAATGTATTTAGTTGAGTTTCGAAAATTTTTTGAGGATTTTTACCCATTTTTCTTGAAAGTGCAACTTATTTTTAAGATTTTTTGTTCGAGGATGAATTCGAATATATATTTGATGGAGTGATTGTGCAAAAATCTTTGTGGCTTAAATTCAGTACCTCATGTATAATCAAGTTTTTTTTTCTTAATTACGTACCTAATCTTAGTTGGGGCATCCCCGATAAATGCACCTTCATCTTCACACATCCCGCCACCTCATTCGAGACCACGGACCCCTTGGCGTTAACCGACAAATTCACCGACTCCACCACGTCGATGAACAGCTCGTTCCTCCTATACCTAATCCCCTCCGGCCTCCACGAAACCACGTTCGTAACCACCGCAGGCACCGAAGTCATCTTCTTCAGCTTGTAGCTCTCCTGGAAGATGTACGTCTGCAGGATTTTGGGCTCCGTCGTCTGCGGATACCCGAAGTCCATGATCTCGTCCAGCAGCTCATACAGCACCACGAAGTTGTCCCGGATGCTCTCCTCCTCCAGCTTGCTGAAGTACTGGGTGGCGATTTCGATGAATTTGTAGATGAAAGTGAAAATTAGGGCAATGTTGGCGTTGCGCTTTATTGTACCGATTATGTATAGGTTGTTGAACTTGACATACGCGAAAGTGGTTCCGTTGTGGTGGAGTACCGGAGCCGAGGTACCTGTTTCTTCGTGCCTTGTGATTAGTGGGAGGAAATTGTCGATGACTTCTTTGTTTATGTCTCCGCGGTAATCGCGGGAGATGAGAGCGGTGCCGTTGATGTCGAGGATGAATAGCGCCGAAAGGGACATTTGGACGGGCTTTGGGGTTAGTTTTGGTGAAGTTTGACAGATATGGTGTTTTATGTCTGGGTGTCGGCAGTAGTTGGCCTTGCAAGTATGCTCTGTCAATTTTATGCATGTTAGAAAAGATTTATTCAGCAAAATTTTGTGAAGATGTCATTGACTTTTTCTGGAAATGAACCACACGGATTTGAGTTGTAGAGCTCGAAATCTACAAGAAAATGTCTTTTGTTCAGAAATATTACAATTTTAAAAAAGTTGTCTAAAAATTATGAAACAAATCAGGGACGTAGATCTCGACACGCTGATTCCAAAAATATAGTGTGTTGATGGTCACGGGGCAACATTTTCGAAAGAATCGGTACGAAATGCGAATTTTTGAAGATTTCTAAAAATTTCGATATTTCAACTATCGATTACGGAAAAACGGTTGTAGTTATCAAAGAGACGATGCCGGAAGTGAGTTCTAGAGCTCGAAATCTACAAGGAGATGTGTTTAGTTAAGTTTCGAAAATGTCAAAATTTGGCCGAAATTTGAAGAAGGGTGGACCATTGAAAAAATTTCACTTTTAAAAAAGTTGTCAAAAAATTGCGAAAAAATTCAGGGATGTAGATCTCGACATGCTCATTCCAAAAATATAGTGTGTTGATGGTCACGGAGCAACATTTTCGAAAGAATCGCTACGAAATGCAAATTTTTGAAGATTTCTAAAAATTTCGATATTTCAACTCTCGATTCCGGAAAAACGGTTGTAGTTATCAAAGAGACGATGCCGGAAGTGAGTTCTAGAGCTCGAAATCTACAAGGAAATGTGTTTAGTTAAATTTCGAAAATGTCAAAATTTGGCCGAAATTTGAAGAAGGGGGGACCATTGAAAAAATTTAACTTTTAAAAAAGTTGTCAAAAAATTGCGAAAAAATTCAGGGATGTAGATCTCGACACGCTGATTCCAAAAATATAGTGTGTTGATGGTCACGGGGCAACATTTTCGAAAGAATCGGTACGAAATGCGAATTTTTGAAGATTTCTAAAAATTTCGATAATTCAACTCTCGATTACGGAAAAACGGTTGTAGTTATCAAAGAGACGATGCAGGAGGAGAGCTCTAGAGCTCGAAACCTACAAGAAAATATGTTAGGTTAAGTTTCGAGAATCTCAAAATTTGGCCGAAATTCGAAGAAGGGGGGACCATTGAAAAAATTTCACTTTTAAAAAAGTTGTCCAAAAATTACGAAAAAATTCAGGGATGTAGATCTCGACATGCTGATTCCAAAAATATAGTGTGTTGATGGTCATGGAGCAACATTTTCGAAAGAATCGGAACGAAATGCGAATTTTTGAAGATTTCTAAAAATTTCGATATTTCAACTCTCGATTCCGGAAAAACGGTTGTAGTTATCAAAGAGACGACGCCGGAAGTGAGTTCTAGAGCTCGAAATCTACAAGGAAATGTGTTTAGTTAAGTTTCGAAAATGTCAAAATTTTGCCGAAATTTGAAGAAGGGGGGACCATTGAAAAAATTTCACTTTTAAAAAAGTTGTCTAAAAATTGTGAAAAAATTCAGGGACGTAGATCTTGACACGCTGATTCCAAAAATATAGTGTGTTGATGGTCACGGAGCAACATTTTCGAAAGAATCGGAACGAAATGCGAATTTTTGAAGATTTCTAAAAATTTCGATATTTCAACTCTCGATTCCGGAAAAACGGTTGTAGTTATCAAAGAGACGATGCCGGAAGAGAGTTCTAGAGCTCGAAATCTACAAGAAAATATGTTTAGTTGAGTTTCGAAAATGTCAAAATTTGGCCGAAATTTGAAGAAGGGGGGACCATTGAAAAAATTTCACTTTTAAAAAAGTTGTCTAAAAATTGCGAAAAAATTCAGGGATGTAGATCTCGACATGTTGATTCCAAAAATATAGTGTGTTGATGGTCACGGAGCAACATTTTCGAAAGAATCGGTACGAAATGCGAATTTTTGAAGATTTCTAAAAATTTCGATATTTCAACTCTCGATTCCGGGAAAACGGTTGTAGTTATCAAAGAGACGATGCCGGAAGTGAATTCTAGAGCTCGAAATCTACAAGGAAATGTGTTTAGTTAAGTTTCGAAAATGTCAAAATTTGGCCGAAATTTGAAGAAGGGGGGACCATTGAAAAAATTTCACTTTTGAAAAAGTTGTCAAAAAATTGCGAAAAAATTCAGGGATGTAGATCTCGACATGCTGATTCCAAAAATATAGTGTATTGATGGTCACGGAGCAACATTTTCGAAAGAATCGGTACGAAATACGAATTTTTGAAGATTTCTAAAGATTTCGATATTTCAACGTTCGATTCCGAAAAAACGGTTGCAGCTATCAAAGAGACGATACCGGAAAAGAGTTCTAGAGCTCGAAATCTACAAGGAAATGTGTTTAGTTAAGTTTCGAAAATGTCAAAATTTGGCCGAAATTTTAAGAAGGGGGGACCATTGAAAAAATTTCACTTTCAATAAAGTTGTCTAAAAATTGCGAAAAAATTCAGGGATGTAGATCTCGACATGCTGATTCCAAAAATATAGTGTGTTGATGGTCACGGAGCAACATTTTCGAAAGAATCGGTACGAAATGCGAATTTTTGAAGATTTCTAAAAATTTCGAAATTTCAACGCTCGATTCCGGAAAAACGGTTGCAGCTATCAATGAGACGATGTCGGAAGAGCGTTCTAAAGCTCGAAATCTACAAGAAAATATGTTTAGTTAAGTTTTGAAAATGTCAAAATTTGGTTGAAATTTGAAAAAGGTGGGACAAATGAAAAAATTTCAGTGTCAAAAAAGTTGTCCAAAAATTGAGAAAAAATTCAGGGATGTAGATCTCGACATGCAGATTCCAAAAATTTAGTGTGTTGGTGGTCACGGAGCAACATTTTCGAAAGAAACGGTACGAAATGCGAATTTTTGAAGATTTCTAAAAATTTCGATATTTCAACGCTCGATTCCGGAAAAACGGTTGCAGCTATCAAAGAGACGGTGCCGGAAGAGAGTTCTAGAGCTCGTAATCTACAAGAAAATATCTTTAGTTAAGTTTCGAAAATGTCAAAATTTGGCCGAAATTTGAAGAAGGTGGGACCATTAAAAAATTTCAATTTTAAAAAAGTTGTCTAAAAATTATGAAAAAATTCGGGGACGTAGATCTCGACACGCTGATTCCATAAATATAGTATGTTGATGGTCACGAAGCAACATTTTCGAAAAAATCGCTCCAAAATGCGAATTTTTGAAAATTTCAAAAACTTCGAATTTTCAACCGTCGATTCTGGAAAAGATTTATTAGAATCGAAAGAGGACATAATTTTATGAACATACATTACAACGTTAGGTAAATTAAAGTAACCAATTAAACTGAGAGAATTTAGCAAAAACATTTCTAAATCATCAGCATCACAGTGACTTTTGATAAAAATATTCTTAAGAATTAGGGGGAATGATCACAAATGAAAATGAAGGCATCAAAAACCCAAACAGTTCTTACTAATCATGTTTATTTGTTATATTATAAAAACAACCTCATTTCTCTTCACTCTTACACATCTCTAGGAGTAAAACAAATGTTTAGGAGAAATCTTCAACGTTACTGTGAGGATCGATATCATTGTTGATGTTAACATTAATTGGTCCTCCATTGTGCGATGTGTATGTCCCAGAAAACGATGTACTTTGGAACGTAGTGCCCGTCCCGAAGGGATTTTCCTCGTCCCTGCGGAAGTCCGTCAATACCATATCTAAAACAACTCGTCGTTCCAAACAATCGCTACTGATAAAAACGCTAACCTTGAGCATCCAGACAAGAGATGATCGTATTTAAGGTCTTTTTGTCATCGCTGGTTCGGATAGTTTTCCTACACGCAGTTGTAGTATTGGGACATTCCTGGTCGTAACACTTGACTGTCTTATCTATGCAAAAAAATAATAATAACAATAGTGGTGACGCATTCTTGGCGTTACTTACCACTTAGAAATGGCTGCTGCCCTAGCGTTTCGACAACTAAGGCCACTAATAGCACTAAAACAATTTTTGACATTTTTTTGACGAGTTATTTTGCGCAGCGACTCCAGCCAACTAAACACCTCGTCTCTCCAATTTACTGATTTTGATGTTTTCTTCGACTCATTTCTTTGAAACTTATCACCCGCTTTTGACATGTTTATAAGTTCGCGACCTTGGCACTTTCAAAACAGTGTTATCGCAAATTCTAGAATTTTCGTGATATCCACGATTTCGCATTGCTTTTTCTCGATGATCCAGAGAATGTGGTGCATAATTTCATTGTATTTGTAGTTAACGAGAATTCAATCTGCGATTCCGCATTATTTTAAGCAACAAAACATCTGCTGCGAGGGTCGGAGGTCACAAAATTTCCTCGTTATGAAAACATCGTGATATTGATGGATGACCTTTGCGACGATTACGGTACAGCAAACCAGAAACTGTTGTCCTATGTAAATTATTATTAAAATCATAAAATGTAATCAAATATTTATTTATTACGGCCGCTGACACCCACGCTTGTATCCTTTTACGAACAAAACACATTTCTGTGAGGTGTTGTGTGTCGAGGCGGCCAAAACCGTATATAGAAAAATAAACAACGACAAAGGTTTACGATTTTGGCTTTTTAGAAGTGAGTTGTGATATGTAAAAGGAGGAAAAACGTGGGGGGAGTGTCAAGGGGGACTTGATTAGTTAATTTTTGGGGAATTTGTTAAAAAATAGCAATATATTTCAATAAAAATGTATTTGTTATTTTTATTTCAAAGTTTGTAGTAAGTGTAGAGAAGGAAACTTGCGTTTTAGTCTTCTATGGCTTGTAAAACGCTTAAAAACACGAAATGAGTTACTCATCATACGAATTCTTCCCTAGACATTGCTCTGGAAGTAAAAAAGTAACAATTTTTTGACAGGTTTAATCTTTGATAAATTTCCAACAGTTATTATTGTAAGATACCATAAAGCAGTTTGGGTTTAAAAATTGGCTTGCCTAAAAAAATAACGCAAATACTTTCTTTTGTCAAAAATTATTCTTAAAATTGTTCTCTTATTACAGGTGGTGCTAAAAATAAAATTAGTGGGTTGGATTATTAAATCTAAATCTCAAGTATATCTTGGCCAAAAATTGAAAAGAAGCGGCCAAGAAAGCTCAAATCAGAAGAATCTCATCACAATGACAACAGAAAAAGTAGAAATATGACGAAAAATATCAGTATGAAAGAGTGTCTGAGAGTGTCTCCCGCGGATTGATTAAATTTTGATTCTGGATATTTTTTCGCAGAGTGATTATTTTCCGAAATATTTGAAAGTATCCGGTTAAAAAAATCACACTGTATATTCATATTTTTGGCTTTTTCTTGTCGTTTTCTTTTCCATCACAGAATTTTTTTATTTCTATAATTTTTGTCGTATTTTTGCGGCCGTTTTTGTATTACGGTCTTATGTGTTCCTTTTTTTTGGAGCAATTTTTTTTGGTTCTAGTCATGGCTCTTTCTAGTATTGTTTCTGTGTTCCCTTTTGATTTCTGCAATTATTGTTGCTTTTTTGTCGTTTCCTTATCGCATTTTTTGGCGTTTTTTACGAAATATTTTTTAATTTCTTTTGTGTCATTTTCGGGTGTTTTTTACTTTTTTGTCGCTTTTTTTTCGACTCTTCGACGTCTTTCTTTGTCACCTCATTTTTTATTGTTTTTTTTGTAGTATTTTTGGTCTAATTTTGTGTCATATTTGTTTTGTTTTGTTGTTTTTTTGTCACATTTTTGTGGTCTTTTTAGTGTTTTATTTGTCCTTTCTTTTTTACTTCCTTGCTTTATCAGCCTTTTTCTTCACTTTTTTTTCTTTTATTTTTGTCGCTTTTGTGTTCCATAATATTTTGTTGCTTACTTGTGTTTTTGCTGGCTTTTTTGTGATATTTTTTTTATCTTCTTTTGTCGCTTCTTTTACTCATTTTTTGGTGACATTTTCTTTATCACGCTTCTTGTTACATTTTTGTGGTTTTTTTATTTTATCGTGTTTTTCAGTTTTTTGGGCTTTTTTTCAACTTTTTTGTTTTTTTTTTGTCTTTTTTTGCCACCCTTCTTGTCTTTTTTTACTCCACTTGTTTCAGTTTAGCCTTTTTTTTTGTTTTTTTTCTCATTTTTATTCCCATTTTTTGTAGTCTTTATTGGCACTTCTTTATAGTCGTTTACTCCATTTTTTTCATCTTTTTATTGCATTTTTTTTTGTGATTTTTTGCTTCTTATTTTTTGTCGTGTTATGTTTGTCATTTGTGTGGCTTTTTTGAGACAATTTCTTTTAGTGGCATTTTTTGTTCTCTCTGTTTTATTGACTTTTATTGTCTTTTTTGTAACTTTCCTTGTCGCTGTATTTTGTCACATTTTTTGCTTTCTTTTTTGTCGCTTTTTGATCTGATTTTTTTATCGCTTATTTTACCACTTTTTTGGTCTTTTTTTTGCTTTTTTGACATAACTTCTTATAGTAGCATTTCTTCTTTTTTTGTTGCTTTTTATTGTCTTTTTGTAGCTTTCCTTCTCAGTTTTTTTCACTTTTTTGGTCCCTTTTTTTCGTTGATTTTGTGCCTCGTGTTTTGATTTCCCTTTTTGACGCTTTTTTCACTGTCTTGTCTCGGTTTGTTGTCACTTTTTCTTTATTTGTTGCCTTTTGTACTTTTTTTGGTAGCTTTTTTCTCTTCTTTTTTTCTCCTCCTTTGTCGCATTTTTTAGTAGAATTTTTGTTGCCCTTTTTGCCGCTTTTTGGCAAATTTTTTGTTCCTTTTTTGTTTTTTGATAGCATTTTTTGTGGTCTTTTTTGGTATTTCTTTAATCGCTTCTTTTTTATTCCCTTGATTTGAAGGCATTTTTTTCGTCCTTTTATTTTATTGTGTTTTTGTCGTTTTTTTTCAATTTTTGATTCCCATTTTTCAATCGGATTTTTTCTTGATTTCTTGTTTTCAGTCGCCTTTTTTTCGTGTTTATATCGCCCTTTTTGTGGTTTTTCTTGCCAGTCTTACTAACATAGTCTTTTCTTTGTCTTTTTTTTCTCTCTTTCTTTCAGTTGCATTTTTTGTTTCCCTTTTTGCTGCTTTTTGTTTGTTTTTTGTGTAATTGTTTTTATCTAGTTTGTTTTTGTAGTCGTTTTTGTAGCACGTACTTTTTTCATATTTTATTTTAGTCCCTTTTTTTTGCCTTTTTGACATAACTCCGTATAGTAACAATTTTTATCCCTGTTTTGTTACTTTTTATTGTCTGTTTTGTAGTTTTCCTTGTCAGGTTTTTTTCTCTTTTTTGCTCTCCTTTTTTGTTGATTTCTTGCTCGTCCTTTTTTGTTACTACTTTGTAACTTTTTTAAATCTTTTTTGTGTCCCTTTTTTCCTGTTTTGATTTCCCATTTTGACACTTTTTTCACTGTCTTGTCTTGGTTTGTTCTCATTTTTTCTTTATTTGTCGCTTTTAGTACTATTTTTTTTGTTCCTTTTTTGTTTTTTTGATAGCATTTTTTGTGGTCTTTTTTGGCATTTTTTGCTTTTTTGACACAACTTCTTATAGTGGCATTTTTTTAATTCATTTTTTGTTACCTTTCTTTGTCTTTTTTGTAGCTTTTCTTGTCGCTTATTTTCCAAGTTTTTTTTTTCTCTTTTTTTTGGTCTCCTTTTTTCGTTGATTTTTTGGTCGTCCTTTTTGTTACCAAAATAGTAAAAAAGTAGGTAATAAAAAAAGTTACAAAATATAACTTTTTTTTGGTCTTTTTTGTGTCCCTTTTTTCCTTTGCTGATTTCCCTTTTTGACGCCTTTATCACTATCTTGTCTCGGTTTGTTCTAATTTTTTCTTTATTTGTCCTTTTTTACTCTTGTTTTTTTGTAGATTTTTTCTCCTCTTTTTTTCGCCTCTTTTGTCGCATATTTAGCAGTTTTTTTTGTTGCCCTTTTTGGGAAATTTTTTGTTCCTTTTTTGTTTTGTTAATAGCATTTTTGTGGTGATGCTTTGGTGTTCTTTTAATCGATTTTTTTTCCCTTGATTTCAAGACATTTTTTTTTGTCATTTGGTTTTATCATTTATTCACTTATTCACTTCTCACTCACTTACTAACTCACTTACTCACTCACTTACTCACTCGCTTACTTATTCGCTTACTCACTCACTCACTCATTTACTCACTCACTCACTCATTCACTCACTCACTTACTCACTCAATTACTTACTCTTTTCTTTGCCTTTTTTTACTCTCTTTCTTTATGTTGCATTTTTTGTTTCTTTTTTTGCTGCCTTTTGTTTGTTTTTTTTTGTAATTGTTTTTATCTAGTTTGTTGTTTAGTAGTCTTTTTTAATCTATATCTTTTTTCGTAGTTTATTTTAGGCCCTTTTCCCCCTTTTTTCGCAAATTTTGGTTGCCTTTTTTGTTGCTTTTTGATCTGATTTTTTCTATCCGTTATTGTGCCACTTTTTTGGCCTTTTTTGTTTTTATGATAACTTCTTACAGTAGGTTTTTTTATTCCTTTTTTTGTTACCTTTTTTTTGTGTTTTTTGTAACTTTCCTTCCTTATTTTATCAGGTTTTTTTCCTCGTTTTGTCCCTTTATTGGTAGTCTTTTTTGTTACCAAAATAGTAAAAACGTAAGTAGTAAAAAAAAGTTACAAAATATAACTTTTTTTTTGTTTTTTTTGTCTCGCTTTTTTCCTTTTTTAATTTCCCTGTTTGACGCTTTTCTCACTGTCTGATCTCGGTTTGTTCTCATTTTTTTCCTTATTTTTCCCTTTTTTTTTTACTCTTTTTTTTGTAGAGTTTTTCTCCTCTTTTTTTCGCCTCTTTTGTCGCATTTTTAGCAGTTTTTTTGTTGCCCTTTTTGGGAAATTTTTTGTTCCTTTTTGGTTTTTTGATAACATTTTTTGTGGTGGTGCCATGGTGTTTTTTTAATCGTTTTTTTTTTATTTCCTTGATTTGAAGGCATTTTTTTCGTCTTGTAGTTTTACCATTTATTCACTTATTCACTTATTCACTTACTCACTCACTTACTCGCGCACTTACCCACTTACTCTTTTCTTTGTCTTTTTTTACTCTGTTTCTTTCAGTTACATTTTTTTGTTTGTTTTTTTGCTGCCTTTTCTTTGTTTTTTTTTTTGTACAATTATTTTTATCTAGTTTGTTGTTGTCTTATTTAGTATATACTGTTTTCGTACTTAATTTTGTTCCCTTATTCCCCTTTCGCAAATTTTTGTTGCCTTTTTTGTTGTTTTTTCTTCTGATTTGTTTTATCTCTTACTTTGCCACTTTTTTGCTATTTTGAAATATTCTTATAGTGGCATTTTTTACCCTTTTTGGCTTTTTTGTACCTTTCCTTGTCGTTTATTTTGTCAGGTTTTTTTCTGTTTTTGTGACGTTTTTTATCTCTTTTGTCCTTTGATCTCTTGGTCGTCCTTTTTTCGTTACTATTTTGTAACTTTTTTTAGTTTTTGGTCTTTTTTGTGCCCTTTTTTTCTTGTGTTGATTTCCCCTGTTTGTTGCTTTTCGTAGTTTTTTCTCTCATTTTTTCTTTCTTTGTAGTCCTTTTGTTCTCGTTTTTTCTCTTCTTTTTTCACTTTTTTGTTCGCATTTTTTGTAGTTTCTTTTTGTTGGCTTTCTGTCGGTATTTGGAACATTTTTTACTGTTATTTTAACGCATTTTTTGTTTTTTGGTTTTTTTTTGTCTCTTTTCTCATTCTTTTAGTGGAAATTTCTTTCGATCTTTTTTTGGCACATTTTTTTGGAGTCTTTTAGCTTTTTTCAATTTGTTTTTGTCGGATATTTTTGCATTTGCTGTGACGTTTTTTGTCAACTTTTTGAATTTTTACTCCATATATTTTACTTTTGTTGACTTTTTTTTATTGTTTTTTTTTGTCGTTTTCTTATAAGTCTAATAACATTTTTTGTTTTTCTGACATTTTTTTGTGGGTGCCTAATTAAGACTTTTGTTTTAGCGGCAATTTTGATTGTTGTTAAATTTTATAGGCATTTTTAGGAGTAGGTATGGCAAAACGCTAAGAAAAATTTGTCTAATAATCGCCATCAATAATTATAATTTAGTGACGTGAGGTCCAAATTTTGCCTGGTTTATTTAAATTTATAAGATTGATGAGATAACATACTTCTGTACTTGCGGTTTATGAATCAGCCTTAATTTTTTACCCTAGGCATCCATATTTTCTCAAAATAATTCCAAATCGTAGAACCTTTTATACCAATATACCAGGAAGTATCGACCCTGCGAGTTGCTTATTAGAAGTCCTCAAGTTGGATTGTTAATTTATTGATAATTTTGCTCGTTTAACTAAAATAATTATCTAAATAAAAGTTGACAGATAATAATTTTTCCTAATTCAAAAAGTTTTCTACCAGTGACTGAAAATTTCGCTCTTTAAATTACGAATTCTTAAGATCGAAGGTTGAAACTTCAATTTCATTTTATCTCGAAGAGAACCCGTTTTTAACCGACATTAAGAAAACGGATACACAAATTTTTGACAATATGTTTCCCATAAAACAGACGCAGTAATTTTTCTTTGTTTTTTGAACACACATTGCAACGTCCTTATTCACCGGGTGTTGCTCATCCGAAGGAATTGCATCGGAATGCACCTAATTAGCAAGCGCGATAAAGCCGCTTCTCCGCACATAAAACATCAAAATAACACCACAGATTTGCTTATTTCACAGAATCGTGTGATCGATTCGCCGAGATAATTCCTGAAGGTGTACACCTCGAAACACTCCTACAACAAAAAAAAACTCTTTCTCAGACAAAATTTGTCGACGCAGTTTAAAGTAATAACAATATTAAAGCCACCTAATAGCCCTCAACGACAAGCCCGAGATGATTACCTATCCATACATAATAAAAAGCAATGATGTTGCAAAATTATTATATTTGGTTGTCGAAATATCTTTTTTGGAATAACCACAATTATTTTAATGTTGTTCTTCCTTCGATTTTCATTGTCATGAGTGAGTGCACATAGATATAACGATTTCAATCATTTCGTCCACCTGTTGTAACTTCAATAACCCAGAACCAGTCAAATGAAAAAACGCCATTATATCACATCGTAATGAATTTGATGATGAATATTCAGTGTGTGAAAAAATCAATTTAAGCACGGCGGAATAAAAAGGATGCGGATTTCAGGCGCGTTAAATTATTTTCACGAAGAATCTAAAAACACACTATACTTAAAATGTGTGTTATTGATTGCACATTTTTGCTAAACTCCGCGTCCTTGTGCCCGTTCTGTGACTTTAATTCGTAAAAAGCGCCAGACTAATCCGCGACAAACGGAATTAAACTAAAACGAGCGCTTATTTTAATTAAACGGTGAAACCGAAGATGAGACAGGAAAAAGTTCGCCTAAACAGAGCACATCAACTAATTATCTGAGAAATGTGAAGAAAACAGCCGGAACGTTATTCTGGTTAGTTAATGAATTCAGGTACTGGAGCATTTTCGTGAAAACACGCCGGATTACTAGACTATAAAATGTGTGCTGTAATAAACGAACACGAATTTGCTTATCCACGATGGTTTTGTGATGATTTATTTATTTTTGTTTGCTCGTAAACTATACTGATTATCAGTCCCGTAAATAGGTGTCATTATAACATCGTTATCAGTACTGACTAATTCTTTTTTTTTAAACTTTACCTATATAAGCAGCTACTTGGTTTGCAAATTATTTGCGTTTTAGTAGCAAACCGAAAAATGAAGTTGGTTGTGGTGTTTCTGGCTGTAATTTTTGCCTACAATAATGTCTTGAATGTGCAAGGGCAAGGAGGTACGTTTATAATTAAAAATAAATATATAAATAAATAAAATAATGTGATGAAATTTTAAATTTTAGGGACGAGGAAGGTCTGCCATGGACATACGTGTCCAAACACTACCGTTTTGTGCGTCCAGATTTTAAACACCACCTCAGATAATTTACACCTCTTGACAGAAGTCGAGTGTGTGGATTCAAATTGTAAGTAAATAAATATTGATGAATTAGTTTTACTTTAAAAATGTTTTTGTATTCAGTGACAGTGTTGGAAAAATTTAACAGTTCGTCTAATAATAATTTCCCTGTTTTGAGCTTTGAAGGGTTTTCTATTTCTCCGGCCCATGTGGTCCCTACGGTGAGTAATGGAAGCTCTACTACCAATAACCCCGTATAAATAATATTTTCAATTGTTTTAATGAATAATTAAATATTGTTAAATGGCTGCTGATTTATTACCTTAACGTATTATATAATTTTTGTATGGATTTTATTATTTATAATGTGATGCATACGTTGTAAAATAAAATTATTTAAATTAGTTTATATTGTTTTATTTAATATTTGCACCCCTTAAAATTGTTTCAGAAGTAATTACTACAAACCGACTGAATTATTTAACGAAAATTTTCAATGAAGACTCAAAGTACAACTAAAAACCAGAGGATTAGAAAATTTGTATAATTATAGGATTATATAAAGGAGAATAACAGGTAGTACCATAAGTCAGATAATTTAGCCCAATTTTTATTGATTTACTAAAAAAGTATTCTTTTAAAAACAAGTACAAGTATTTTTCCAGGACTGGAAAATCATTCATTAAAAACATACAGAAAAATTCATGTATAATGTTCGATTACACTTTTTTGGCGTTTTTTCGTTTTGTCGTAATTTTTTGTACCTTTTTTACTTCCTTTGTAATCTGATTTTTGCCACATTTTTTGTGCTCTTTTGGCATAATTTCTTTTAGTCGCATTTTTGTTTCGACTTTTTTTGTTGGATTTTGTTGTCTTTTCTTACAGCTTTTTCTGGTGCTTTTTTTGTCTCGTTTCTGGTTCTCTTTTCTTTATCGGTTTTGATCTCCTTTTTTTTTGTTACGTTTCACTGTCTTTATCCGTTTTTTTTTCGTAATTTTCTTTTCACTTTTTTCTTGTTGGTTTGTAATCAGATTTTCTTGTTCCTTATTTTTGTCACGTTTCTTGTTCTTTTTTCGCTGATTTCCTGGTTGCCATTTTTGTTAAGTTTTTGTCACTTTTTTGTTGTCTTTTAGTGGTTCTTCTTGTGCCTGTTTCCTCCTGTTTGGATTTTCCATTTTTTGATGTTTTTTCATTGCCTTGTTTCAGTTTGTTCTCACTTCTTCTTTATTTGTTGTCCTTTGTTTTCCTTTTTTTTTCGTCTTTTTTGGTGCATTTTAAAATATATTATTTTTTATTTCCTTGTGTAAGAGACATTTTTATCATCTTTTTGTTTTCCGCGTTTCTGTCATCTTTTTTGTCAGATTTTTGTGGCTTTTGTTTTCTTTTTTGTTTTTCTATTCCCATTTACTTAATCGCATTTTTTTGCTTCTTGTTTTTTTGACGCCGTTTTTGTAGCTTCTTTTTTTTCATGTCTATATTGCCTTTTTTGTTACTTTTTAATACATATATTTTTTTGCTACCAGAAAAAAAACATAGAGGAAAATTCATCTATAATAGGAAACTTAAAACATGTTTAAAATGGAATAAAAAAAATCATCACAATTTTTGAATTTTCATTTTTTTTTTAATGAAGGTAGTTTCATTTTCGCAACAAGAAACTGTATGTTTCAGCTGATGTCATTTTTTGTTACCTTTTTGAAGTTCTGATTTGTTTATCTCTTATTTTCTGTTCCTTATTTTTGTCACATTTTTTTTACCTTTTTTCGTTGCTCTTTTGGCATAATTTCTTTTACTGGCACCTTTTTTTGGACATTTTTTTGTTGCATTTTAGTGTCTTTTTGTGTAGCTTTCAAAGTCGCTTTTTTGACAGGTTTCTTGTTCTCCTTTTTATCTCTTTTTTGATCTCCTTTTTGTTCTCTTTTTTTTTTATTTGATTTCTTGGTCGTTTTTTGTTGCCTTTTAATCTTTTATAGTGGCACTTTTGCTCGACCTATTTTGTTGGCTTTTATTCTATAGCTTCCCCTATCGCCTTTTTTTGTAATGCTTCTTGTTCTCCTTTTTGTCGCTTTTTTGATCTCCTTTTTGCTCCTCTTTTTTCGTAGATTTCCTGATCGATTTTTTGTTTCATTTTTGTCAATTTTTTGTTGCCTTTTAGTGGTTCTTCTTATCCCCCTTTTTTTCTGTTTGGTTTTCACTTTGTTCTCACTTCTTTTTTATTTATTGTCTTCTGTTCTCTTTTTTTGGTGGCTTTTTCTCTTTTTTCTTTTCGTTTTTTTTGCGCTTGTTGTGGTCTTTTTTGGTGTTTTTTTTAAATATACTCTTTTTTATTTCCTTGTTTAAGAGGCATTTTTATCGTCTTTTTCTTTTGTGTGGTTTCCTTTTTTATTTTTTAATTATTCCCATTTATTTAGTCGCATTTTTTTGCTTCTTTTTTTGCCACCTTTTTGTAGATTCTTTTTTTTTTCATGTGTATATTGCCCTTTTTGTTACTTTTTAATATAATTTTTTTTGATCATCACAATCCACACAGGGTAGGTGGGTGGGATTTCCATTTTTCATTTTTTTTTCTTAATAAAGGTAGTTTCATGTTCGCAACAAGGAACTGTATTGAAAGTTTACCTTTTTCAGATGATTATTATTTATTATTGTAATTCGATGATATTATAACATATAAGGAACTTAAATTATAAGTTAACGATGAGAGGAATAAATAATTAAAACAAAAGTATAAGAGGAGAAGGAACAAAAATGAAAACAAAGTAGTGAAAGGACGTGAAAGCTCAGGCAAAAAGAATGAAAAACAATAAAATAAATGAAAAGATTGGTAAAAAGTATGAACAATATTCAAACAAGACAGCACTAAAAGTAAAGAAAACTTGGGGAATAATTTTTTTATTACGTTTTTCTTAGTTTCTTTTTCGCAATTTTTTTCTAACCTTTTCGTTTTTGCTTTCTAATCTGATTTTTTTACACTTATTTTTTGTTTCTTATTTTTGTCACACTCTTTTGCCTCCTTTCCAGTTGTTTTTTGGCACTTTTCTTATTCTCTTTTTGATCTTTTTTTTGTTCCGTTTTTTTTCGTTGGTTTCCTAGTCGCATTTTTTGTTACGTTTTTGCCACTTTTTTGTTGCCTTTTGGTGGTTGTTTTTGTGTCTCTTTTGTCTATTGGGATTTCCCCATTTTTGGTACTTTTTTGTCGTTTTTTTAACTCCCTTTTTTCGTTTTTCGTAATTGTTTACTAACATTTTTGATCATTTTTAACCTGATTTTTTTGCCCCTTATTTTTTTGTTCTCTTATTTTTGTCACATTTTTATATAACCTTTTTTCGTTGTTCTTTTGGCATAATTTTTATTGGGTGTTACTGTCTTTTTTGTAGCTTTCCCTGTCGCTTTTATGTCACCTGTCTTGTTCTCTCTTTTGTAGTTTTTGATCTTCTGTTTGTTTATTTTTTCTTTGATTCATTAATCGCCTTTTTTGTTGTTTTACTGTTTTTTTTTCGTTTTTTACGTTATTATTTGTTATCTTTTTGCTGTTCTGATTTGTTTGTCCCTTATTTTTGTCACATTTGTTTACCTTTTTTCGTTGTTCTTTTGACAAAATGTCTTTTACTGGCACCTTTTCTTGGACATTTTTTGTTGGATTTTAGTGTCTTCTTTTGTAACTTTCCCTATCGCTTTTTTTGGCACGTTTCTGGTTCTCATTTGGTCACTTCTTCAATCTCCTTTTTGTTCCCTTTTTTGTTGATTTCCTGGTCGCCTGTTTTGTGACGTTTTTCTCATTTTTTTGTTGCCTTTTAGTGATTCTCCTTGTGCCACTTTTTTCCTGTTTGAATTTCCCATTTTTGACGCTTTTTCATTACTTTATTTCAATTTGTTCTCACTTCTTCTTTATTTGTCGTCTTTTCTTCTCGTTTTTGGCAGCTTTTTTCTCTTTTTTTTTCGTCCTTATTTGTTGTCTTATTTTTGTCACATTTTTTGTGAGTTTTTTCGTTGCTCTTTTGGAATAATATCTTTTAGTGGCATTTTTGCTCGACCTTTTTTTGGGTTTTATTCTCCTTTTTTGTAGCTTTTCCTATCGCTTTTTTTGTCACCTTTCTTGTTCTCCTTTTTATCTCTTTTTTGATCTCCTTTTCGTTTTCTTTTTTTTCTTTGATTTCTTGGTCGCTTTTTTGTTACGTTTTACTGCCTTTTTTCGTTTTTTTTTGTAATTTTTTTTTTGTTATATTTTTGTTGCTTTTTAATCTGTTTTTTTTGTCCTTTATTTTTTGTTCCTCATTTTTGTCACCATTTTTGGTGACATTTTTTTCGTTGCTTTTTTGGCATAATTTCTTTTAGTGGCACTTTTTTGTTAGATTTCATTCTGTAGCTTCCGCTATCGCCTTTTTTTGTCATGTTTCGTGATCTCTTTTTTGTCGTTTTTTGATCTCCTTTTGGTTCCCCCTTTTTCGTCGATTTCCTGATCGACTTTTTGTTTCGTTTTTGTCACTTTTTCGTTACCTTTTAGTGGTTCTTCTTATCCCCCTTTTTTCCTGTTTGGTTTTCACCTTGGTCTCACTTCTTTTTTATTTGTTGTCTTTTGTTCTCTTTTTTGGTAGCTTTTTTCTCTTCCTTTTTCTTTCGTTTTTTTTGCATTTGTCGTGGTCTTTTTTTGGTACTTTTTTTAAAAATATTCTTTTTTATTTCCTTGTTTAAGAGGTAATTTTATCGTATTTTTGTTTTGTGTGTCTCTGTCACCTTTTTTGTAACATTTTTGTGGCTTTTGTCTCTTTTTTATTTTTTTTATTCCCATTTATTTAGTCGTCTTTTTTTGCTTTTTTTTTTCATGTCTATATTGCCTTTTTTGTTACTGTTTAATATATTTTTTTTGCTATCAGAACTGGAAAATCATTCATAAAAAACATACAGAAAAATTCATTTATAATACAACCGATATTTATACAATAAGAAACTTAAAACATGTTTAAAATGGTAATTTTTTATAGTGGAGTATGGATTTTGCAATTATGCTCCGCCCCTCGGTCTGACAACGAATGAAAATTTTATCACAATTGAGATTGGGGCGGGTATAGGTGGAGCTTAATCTTTGCCTTTCTTTATACCTACTTAATACATAAAGTTGCCTTTGAGCAACACGACGACTGAAGTATATCTTTCTCTTGGTAATTTTTTGGAGACAAATAAGGATTTTGCAGTTAGGCTCTACCCTCACGGGTTACGACGAATAAAAAAAAATCATCATAATCGAGATAGGGCGGGTGGGTGGGGTTTCCATTTTCATTTTTTTTTCTTAATAAATGTAGTTTCATTTTCGCAACAAGAGACTGCACTGAGAGTTTACCTTTTTCAGCTGATTATTATTAATTATTGTAATTCGATTATATTATAGCAAATAATGAACTTAAAT